AATGCTTTATGCCATTCTTTATCTATCTATCTGTATGTATATATTTTTTGCTTTTATATTTACAGTATATTTATTTAAACAATGTTTAGTTTTATAATAGTGTTTATTTCTAATATGTAGTATACAATTGTATTTATATAATAGTCTATATAGTCGAACTGTTATATTTGTAGTTTTATGTTTATAATATTTAATTGAAAATATATATTATAATATTATTTCGTTTCTATCTATCTGTCGGTCTGTCTGTCGGTCTGTCTGTCTGTATTTTTTGCTTTTATATTTATATTTATTTAAACTGTTATATTTGATTTATAATAGTGTTTATTTCTAATATATATATTATATTCTTTTATTTATATAATAAATAGGGTATATAGTCACACTGTTATCTTTTTAGTTTTATGTTTATAATATTCAATTAAAAATATATAATATTATCTATCTATCTATCTATCTATCTATCTATCTATCTATCTATCTATGTAGTTTATATTGATGAAGTGTGTGAAGTAAAGGGTTATAGGAGGGGCGGGGTTTGTGTTGTTAGCGCCCCGCCCACCCTAGTTCGGACCAATGGGCTTAACTGAGCACACAGTCATTCGCAGCGAGCGGCGCTGGGTTCACATCATCATCACACCTCCCGCCGAACCGAGAGCGAGCGCATGAACTAACTAACAGATGACCCCGCGCTCCTCCGTGTCTCCCGCAGTAGAATGACGGAGAGTGACGCTGCTGTGTTTCTCGAGCTCTGCGTTAATCTGAACGGACTTCTGCGCTGAGATCAGTCTGTGCAACTTCTTCAAATCTCTCTCTCGGAGTAACACCGCGCTCCTGCTTCCTAGTTGCATGTGTGGATGAGAAAGCGCTTCTGCAGACTCGGTCGTTTCTGAAAGATATGTCTGATTGATATGCGAAGAATGAACCCTAAACACTGAGCGGGTGGTTTTTGTCTCTCCGGCGGCGCAGTCCACAATTATTGACCGTAGTGCGGACATTCACACCACTGACAGAAGATCTCGGACATCTCAACACTTGCTCCACTGTCTGACATCAGCCGAGCCACAGATGCGAATGAAAGTCGACTAAAGCAAGAGGAATATACGTGTCCAAGTGTGCTGTAGTGATGCTGCAAGTGGAAATGATCATATTCGTGGGTGTGATTCTGTGGATGTGTGTATTTAGTCAAGAGCCCAGCTCAAAGGTGATGGCTGATCGATACGCTGTCTACTGGAACCGAACCAACCCCAGGTGAGCGGATCGGTGTGTGTTTATATTCGCCGCCGATTTGCGCGAACTTTGTATACGCGACACTTTCACTTTGCATTTATATTTATAGAGAGATATTAACATGTACGCGGTAATAGCTAATTAAAAATATAATTATTAAGATGAAGTAAACGCAACGATAGATGTAGCGTTATTTGTCTGAATGTAGACGCTTTATCGATGCCGCTACAGTTGCGCGCATCGGCCGATTATTCGTGAATTGTTTTAAATTATGAATCGTGGATTTTTTTTAAAAATCAGAACAGTAGGATAATATCTAATTCCGTTTAATCATATGGATGCACATGTTGTATAATAAACAAAAGTCAGTATAAGAGATTAAACACTCACAGTTAGAATAAAAAAAAATAACGCGGATTTTATTTTTTTAAATTTATTTATTTATTTTAATTATATTGGATGGCACGCATTTATTGACAAATCGTCACAGTTTTGCCGCGTATGCGTCTCGGCCCGTTCCGTCGCTATACGGGAGCCGATCTTTATATAGTAAAGTTTACTTTAGTGTTTGGTTCTGTACGGTTTCATTCTCATTCAGCTGGTTTCTGGTTGTCTCGTGGTTCTTAAGGCGTGGTGCATTTTCCCAGTATGATACATATTTAAATCACTGATCCCAAAAAATCTATAATTAATCGAACGCTTTTCCGACAGACGAAGGTTGCACTGTAAATGCATTCGTGTGGCTTTGAAGCGTCGATTCACTGACAGTGAAACTCTGAAATAAAAACTGTATGTAATTTATGAATTAACACATAAATGCCGTTCATTATCCTGAAATTATTTTAACTGATACATTAATTAAAAAGCAGGTGCAAACCCTATATTTGTGGATATTAAAAGGGCCGCACGGTGAAGGGATCTGTTTCTCACGACTGTGCAATTCTCAGTTCCAAAATAAAGAAATAAATACATGTTAAAATATCTTACCATGTTAAGTTGTGGTGAATGCACTTAAAGATTATTTTCATGAGAGCACAGTTTTTATATTTCTAGACCAAACAAACAAGAATGCATTTAATAATGCAGATTAACGTGCTTCATGTTTATTTTTAAACATTAAGTTAAAATGGGCTACAGAATATAACTCCAGTCTACATGACCATTCATGTTTATTTATTTGTTTGTTTGTATCAGTCACTATTTTTTCTGCATAACCTGTTTGCTATTTAAAATCTGTAAATGTGATTGGATATTCACACATTTACACAGTTCATAAAAGCAATAAAGTCTTTTTTTTTTTTTTATGCATCTCCAGTACAGCTAAAAGAATAGGTTGCATATCATATTTAAAACTTGTTTGAAAGCAGCAGACAGGTTTGAAATCTGCCATCTCTGCTAATTAGAAGTTTTGCGGTCAGAATTACTCTCCTGCGTCGCGAGCGCCGTTTATTTATGTGACACTTTGTTTAAACAGAAAAACACAAAGTCAGGTTTCATTTGATATGTGACGCTGAAAAGCCACGGTTTCATTCGGTCGCACGGTTTGCAAGCCAGATGAGCATTCGGTTTCATAATTAACCAAAGAAAAAAGTTTAATTGCAGGTTGCTGTGCACAAAAAAAAGAAGTATTTCACCATATAAAGTCCTGTATTTTTTCTCCTCCACATTTTGGGGGGAAATAACCCTAGTTCCCAGAAGCACAGATGGTTTGTAGTGATTCACGTCAAGGCCTGTAAGAATCCAGTGGTTTCTGAAATCATTTATTGTCTTGTTTTTGCTGGAGGGAAGCAGACAGACTCATAGAAAGCATGTTTTGTGTCCAGTAACTCATTTCGATGTGTTTGACTCATACACCATCAGAATGATCTGAAAAAGTAGTGCATGAATGCAGGACATGATATGAACGGCTTTATCTGGAAATGTTAGTAGTGCGTCCACTCTGTTTGTATTCATCTCATGAGCTCTGACTGAATATTAGAAGGGCAGATAGATTGACTCGGGCCGTCTGTTGGCTGTCCGCACCTCCTTTCTGAGTATGAATCGTTAATTGGTTAATTACTCACTGCACCTTTGGCACACTAAACGGCCGTAATGAGGACGCCGTACCGTTTCCCATGCTCAAGAAACCCCGCTAGCCAGATCTCCCTCTGACTTCCTTCCCCTTTAGCTGCGACTCTCTTTATTTCTCAGTGCCATGCTGTGCAGAGAAAATGAATGAATACAATTAGATATTCCAGGAGCTTCATTCCGGCTGTGCGGAGACCCGGGTTTAAGGGTCACGCACTCTCCGAACGGAAACCCTACATACATTCAGCTGTAACACGATAGTTGGGTTGCTCGTGAAAATGTTCCATGATGAACCAGTCAGAAATGTGTTCCCACTCGACTTAAACGTGCAGGACCATCCGGTGTTTATGGGACGACTGTGTTTACAGCAACATTTCCCGTAAAGCTCCACAAAACACAATAAATTCTAAATCTCTATATATATATATTTTAAAATGTATATATTTTTTTAAAATATTGATTAAATATGAAAAATAGATTTTTATTAGTTTATTAAAATGTTGTTTGCAAAATAATAAATAAATAAAAATTACTATACATTTCTAATATTTTTTTTATTAAATATTCATAATTAGTTATTAAAATTCAATACAATTTTTATTTGCAAGTCACAATATTTTTTATAATAAAAATTATAATACATAAAAAAAAAATTAATACAAATTTAAGAAAGCAAAATAAAGAAAAAATAAACACTTCTAAATGATTGTTTATTAAATATTCCTAATAATTATTTATTAAAAATGCATTTGCAAAATAATTTTGATAATAATTTTTTTTTTAATTAACATTTTTTAAAATTACTTTCTATTAAAGTTATGTTTGCAAAAAACTATTTTGCATATGTCTACTGCTGCTTTACATGGTTTAGGCCTATGCCGTTGTTGAGTTGAACCTTTCTGACCTCCGCAAACTCCACATGTAACAGCTTATATCTACTTGCATGTGTTTTATGTGCATTTTAGCACCTTTTAAATCTCCCTCTTCTGTGGGAGATTAAAAAAGTGCAGTAATATATGATCCAGCTCAGCTGAGAAACGTGAAACACGCTACGTTCCTCATGCATGTGGCCATATATGACTGCTGCTCCAAATATGAAAACAGAGCCTCTTACTAAGTCTTAAACAGATCCTGCTGCAATTCGGACTGACTTGACTAGTTTTGACACTGCCTATTTTCCTCTTTCAGCCTTGTAAAACTTCTCCCGCGGTATGTAAAATGTGCCGTGCCTTTTCACTGTCGAAATTCATTCTCAAAGATGGTTTGGAGAGTTCAGCAGGTCCATGAGAAACCTGGTCTGGAGAATTACTGTGATGATTTTAAAGAACAGACATAAAGGACAACAGATTTAAAAAAACAGAGACCAGTATGACATTGGATTAATGTTAGGCCAAAAAAAATAATTTCACGTTTACCCTGCAACAGCTGCTTGAGAAGGCAGCGGGACGTTTGTGCAATGCAACAGTTTTTTATTTAATAAGAGAAAAAGAGCCAGGGATTTACTGTCTGTTGTTTTTGGATACAGTTTCTGGATAAAATGCTTTTTCAGGATAAGGCTTTGTAAACTTTGATGGCATTGCGTTGGTGTCTATCTGACGGTGGATTCTGCTCTGGATTAGACGTACATGAGCGAACGCTGGAGAGACGCAGCTGCTTTTGCCATGCACTTCACTTTAGAAATATGCATGCAGGACGAATTTATTATGAGCAACATTCTAGCTGGTTCTCTCGTGTAATTAGATTTATGTAATTAATTTAGTGCAGGGTTGTGCGTTTAATCTAAAGCCACATGTCTTAATGTTCTGGTCCACTTTTAATATGCAGCAGAGGAATGTGAGTCAAATACGCCTGTGCTGCAGGTTTTGGTTTTGTTGTACATGTTTTGTGCATCAGCATGATTATTATGATGGTTAAAATAAGCAAATGCACAACACAGATGTTTGTGCATCGTCTGGTAGTAATAAGAGGAACGTTTGAAGCAAGATCATCTACTGAACAAGACTTTAGTGCAGTTTATTTTATTTGCTTTTATTCATGATGCATATACAATATAAATTAATATTTGACATTTGAAAACCTTATCCAGCAAATGATGGTTAAAATAAGCAAATGCATTTAGTGAAAAGGTACAAAAGCGCTCATTGGGATGGATACCCTTTCAAAAGGCACACCTTTGTAACTTATTTACCCCAAAAAGGTGCATTTTAGTACCTTAAAGGCACATATTTGTGCTTAAATTAGTAATGGTACAAATTAGTACCTTTTGAAAGGGTAACGCCCCAGTGACAGCTTTTGTACCTTTTTTTTCAGATGTTTGTGCATTAAAAGAGCTTGTAAAGCAAGATCCTTTCCCCGAGCAAGACTGCTGAAAAGTAATGCAATTTGTTTTTATTTGGTTTTATTCATAATGCATTTTTAATATTTGAAATCTGAGAGCCTCCTCCAGCAAATCAGGGTTAGAATATGCAAAAGAAGTCAAAAAAGCTGTCACTGGGATGATACACTTTCAAAAGGTACGCCTTTGTACCTTATTTATCCCCAAAAAGTGCATTTTAGTACCTTAAAGGTACATATTTTGCCTAAATTAATACCTTTTTGTTACATATTTATGTTTTTGCATCATCTAGAGCTCGTAAAACAAGATTCTTTTACTGAACAAGGCTGTTGTAATGTAATTCATCTTATTTGGTTTTATTCAAAATGCATATTCAATATAAATTCACTGTCACTGGGACGATACCCTTTCAAATGTTTGTACAAACTCTGTACCTTATTTACCCCCAAAATATGAATTTTAGTACTTTAAATGTACACATTTGTACCGAAAGTGTATATATCAGTACGTTTTGAAAGGGTACGGTCCCAGTGACAGCTTTTGTACCTTTTTTCTGAAAGTGTGCACAAGAGAGATATTTAGTAGTAATACAGTCGTCTTTTTACTGTATGAGACTGTT